AGCACACAACAAATGAAACAATGGTATTGAGTCATTTCGAGGACTACGAGATGTATTTTAGCCTAAATTGTGGGCTTTTTGTTTACCCACTCCTTTGATGTAGCTGATTATATGGTCGGTTGCGAAACGCCTGACTGATGTACGGGGGAAATTACCATCGTATACAGCCGTACCCGATGACACCAGTTTCCAGAAAAACAATATAATGAAGACACTAACACGTGAATGCAAATAAGCATATCGACAGCTTGATCAGCAATGTGCTGAATCGGCCAGAACAGATGAACTCGCGAGTTTACTACTCACATTTCGGTTTTCGTGGGCACGCAACCTTTAGGGAACTTCGCAGGATAAAACCTTTCGTGCAATGACGCAGATACATGGTATAAACAAGTAGTATCGTCTCGGCCTATCTTTTTTTTTTTTTAATCCATTACTTCAGCAGGCTTTGACATGCCGAGTAGGAAGTTTCTTAAATTGTCAACCCTGCTAAAGTACTCATAAGCAATATTTCGCGATATTGGCCCTAGAAAATAAATTATTTTTATAGGAACATTTGCTTACTCAAGATATAAGTGACAGGCCCGTCAAATTAAATCTGGCATTTGTCTTCCGTAAAAGTGGCCAAATAAAATTAAAGGGCTCAGGAAGAGAAATGCCTCTGATAGCTTGGCTGAATTCTAGCGCTAGGCACCACTTTACGGACCTGTGTGAACAAATATTAATTTGTTTGAACAGATTCGCTCTCTAAACTTAGGCGTCGCCAGTCACCAAAAGTAAACCTCTATGCCCCATAGACAATCCTGGACTAAAAAAAAATTGTTATGCAAACGGCTCTTTTTTTTTTTTTTTCGTAAAATATTGCGGATTTTAGGTACGCACAAAAACTAAAACAGCGTACGAAAAAAAAAAGAAAGAAAGAAAGAAAGGAAGCGTCGTTGTTATTGAGCATGCGCCGAACCCAAACCGCGTTTTGGATTTGCAAATAGAAACGGCGTTATTTCTTTGTGCACGCCATTCTAAAACTCGCTACCTTCTTACGCGGGAAGTCCCAACCTTTGTAAAAATTGGGTTGTGTGTGTGTTTATACAGCCTAGAACTTGGTCTGCCTCACAGGGGCGACGAGTCTCCCAGCTGTAGATGAGAAATTTAGCCAGTGCGGTACAGCCGCTAGCCTGGGGTCTTTAACGTGCATCACGCAGTAGTGATACACGACCGCACGCCGGTACGATGCTCATCCAGATCGAAACGGGCAGGGGTGGGGCTCGAACCCAGGATCCCTGGGTTCTGCAGCGCGAGCTATCGCTCCACGTGCTCCGAGCTGGTGTGCGCTAGACCACTCGGCCACCGATTTTTTTTTTTTATCTTTATTACAGCATACACAGCACAAACACGTTCAGGCTAAGCGTACAGTCTTTTGATTAGTACATATCAATTAATACGTTGGGGGCTCTTTAGGAGTCTCTCACACATCCCAACCCACTCAGGAACAGTATCCTGATGTGCATAGGTACTACGTATTTCAGTCACAAATTCTATAAAGTATGCCTCAACCGGTCGCGGGTTAAGGTCCGCATGCCTCACCGCCATTCGCGAACACCAGATGCTGTACAGGCCAATTAACATTATAAGGTCGTACGGTACAAGTTCCTGTGAAGCAATCGGAAGAAAACGGATCGAATGTGCTGTTATTTTTAGGTCTTTTTTTAAGGTTCTCTGCAACACGTCCCAAAACAACAGGGCATCCCAACAGAAAATAAACACGTGCTCTATAGTTTCGGGAGCTTTACACAGCAAGCAATTAGTGGTCCAAGGAACAAAAATACCTTTCTCGTGAAGCCACACTTTCACGGGGAGCGTCGAGGTATGAAGTTTGAAAAAAAAGCTTTTGGCACGTGGCTGGATTGCCATTCTCTTGACGCGACAAAGAACATCCTGACCGGTTTCCTGGTTGTACAGTGCACGATACAAAGGCTCCGGGAAAAGGGTGTCATACAGGGCGTTGGACAAAGATTTTCTAGTTATGCAAGACAAATATTCTCTGGAATAGCGCACCGCCAAAAAACGGTATGCTTCAACGACCTCCTTTAGAAATCCAACAATTCTTGTTGACTGCTCGCCATGACTCGAGACCAAAAAGGAAGGCAAGTGCCCGGCCAGTTTCGTCTGAAACACCGCGCGCATGAAAGGCTGTTCAGTATCCCGTAGGAAAATGAATCGCGACACGAGCTGCCGGACAAACAAATGCGATAAACCTAATCCCCCTAAAGGAATACGGCGGAAGAGGTTATTTCTTCTCATTGGCTCCCAGTCTGATTTCCAGATAAATGTGGCACATATTCTATGAACTTTTCTCATTACACTTTGAGCACAATGCAACACCTGAAACACATACATGAGCCCAGCAAGAAGAAATATGTTGCAGGCCGTTGCTCTAGCAAAAATTGATAAGTCGCGGTTAGGCCACCGTGCTACCCGCTTTTTTAATTCAGCCGTGGCTTCGGACCAGTAAACACTTGGATTACGCATGTGCTGGAGTGGTACACCGAGGTACTTCGTAGGTGTTGAGCTCCACTTGATCCCTTCAAACTCTGAGGGCTTTGTGGCCCATGTACCGTGCCAAAAGCCTGCGCATTTTTCTAAATTTACAGCCGCACCGGTAATTTCGCAAAAGTGTTTAACTAAATCAATAACGCTGCTTACACTTTTTTTGTCTTTGCAAAAAACTGCTACATCGTCAGCATAAGCCAATACCTTGACTTCTATGGAGTTAAGCGTGAATCCATGAACGTTTCTGTTGTTAGCAACGCTCAAGCAGAGAGGCTCAAGATAAAGCGCAAATAATAAAGGCGAGAGTGGGCAACCCTGACGTACTGAGGACATTACAGGGATGCTGCAAGTTACGCTACGCGTCGCGTAGAACAGCCACTATATGCCATTCGTACGCCTTCATAAATAACATCTCCAATGTTGATGTGCCGCAAAATGGCCCAAAGAAATTTATGGCGTACGCGGTCAAATGCCTTTTCTAAATCAATCTGAAGCATGGCAATCTGATTTTCTTCTTCTGTACAACATTCTAAAATGCTTCTGGCTACGTGAACGTTCGTTTGGATCGTCCTGCCCTTTATGCCACACGTTTGGTGGTCACCCACCAATTCGCGAATTACGTGCTGTAGCCTTCCATTGAGTATTTTGGCTAATATCTTATAATCTACATTACATAGACTTATTGGTCGATAGCCTTCTACACGTCGTAGCTTGTCGGCGTCCTCTGATTTTGGAACTAGCACAGTGTGCGTTCTAGAAAAAGATAGCGGTAATGATTTTCTTTTATAAGATTCCTCTATGACAGCGAGAAGAATGGGAGCGAGTGCTTTTCTGAATTTCTTGTAAAAGCTTGAACAAATCCCGTCTGGGCCTGGAGTTTTACCACCGGGCAGGTCGCCTATTGCCTTTTCGACTTCCTCCAGGCTTATGGGTCCCTCCAGCCATTCCCTTGTCTCGTCATCTATTCTCGGCATGAAAGACAGCAGTTCGTCAATTTTGTCTTCTTGTCGTTCTGGTGTGAGCTCGAAAATTCGTCGATAATGGTCCACAAAGGCATCCTCAATGCTTACTCTGTCTGTAGCTATAGTACCATTTCTCTCTATTTCGAGGATTTCTTTAGACAAAGCATACCTTCTTTCTGCTATCAAGGCCTGTTTAGTGGGTTGCTCACCACAGAGAAACCGCTGTGTCCTCGAGCGTATCACAGCGCCCTCGTATCGCTCTTTCTGGAATTTCTCGAGTCGTGATTTGACATTCGCGATATCCTTTGTTCCCCAACCAGGGCATTCACATTCAGCTTCGCACAAGGTGCGTAAATCCTTCTGCAGTTTTCGTTCTTCTGCCCGAGCGTAGAACTTCAGCGTGCTTGATCTCTCGATTGCTGACATTTTTACTTGCTCTTTGAACCGCTCCCATCGTTCCAATGGACATGTCTCATTCTGCTCTGTTATTTTCCTTAACAGGTCATCTACTGTAGCTACAAATGTTTTGTCTTTAAGCAGACTGGTGTTCAGCTTCCACAACCGCCAATTAAACTTTGCCTTGGGAATTTTGTTTTCTCCAATCGCGACCTTTACGAGGCAGTGGTCACTAAAAAACACTGGTTTTACACAATAAGAGCTAATGTTATGTACAATGTCAGCAGAAACATAAACACGATCAAGGCGTGCGTGCGAAGATTCTTGAAAGTGCGTAAATTGAATTTTTTTAGTTCCCCTCGATATGTGGAAAACATCTTCCATATTGTTTTCTGCTATTATTTCACTCAGACGATTTGCACTAGCATCGTTATTACGCGTTATTGGAAATCTATCACCTGCATTGCATACACAATTATAGTCACCCAGTAATACAGTTGTCCGATTTGATTTGATGTAGTGTGACATATCGTGGAAGAACAAGGTTCGCTCACTGGCTTTACACGGGGCATAGACACAAATAATTCGCCACTGTGCATCAAACAAATTAAAGTCACATATTATAAAACGTCCATGAGCATCGGTGATGAGACTTACATCAGAGAGGGGGACAGATTTCTTAAGGAACAAAAAACAGCCTCCTGCCGTGCCAACTGCATGCGTTACACATACTTCGTACGAAGTAAGAAAGGGTTGTAGCGCCTTCGTAACTTGCTCTTCCTCCGACATTTTTGTTTCTTGTATGGCTAAAAAGTCTACTTGCTCTTCGTGAAGCAAACGTAATAGCTGATACTGTTTACGAGTAGAATTTAAACCTCTAATATTGAGTGTACCCAACGTTAAGCAATTAGTAGAAAAAGTGGGAAATTTGGATGCAAACATTATTGGGGCGGAGGAGGAGGTTTGTAATAAAGAGCGATTTACAACAAATTTACGCAAAACTTACATAATTCATAGCTGTGGCGACAAGCACGAGTAAATATTCGAATAAAGTAAAGAACTGTCGGTAACTGTTCTCTATGTGAACACAACCACCTACTGCGAGGTTTGCTCTCGTTGGCCTTCCGGTGGAGCTCGGGGCTTGCGTTTCTTTCTTCCTTGTGGCTTGCTCCAGTCAGGCCCTTCAAGGTCGGGGTCTTCCTCCTCGACGCGATCTAGCGGTCGCTTGGAGGGATCCGAGCTGTCGCCCATTTCCGAGTCAACTTCAGTGGCATCGTCAAAGGAGAGGTCGTTCCCGTCGACTGTCTTCTGTCGCTGGCTTTTAGAGGAGCCTGGAGCGGCCTTCACGATGTCTGTGCCGTTTCCGACGCAGGCAGCCGTCTTGTCAGCTTCGGGAATCGTTGCGGTGGTGTCTTCGTCTTGCGATGCGTCTCGTTTGTCAGCCCCTGAAGGTGTCTGGGTATGGGTGGTGGTTGGGTGCCCAGAGCCGTCTTCGATTTTCGAAGCTTCAAATTCATCGATGAAGAATTCAGAGTTGTCTTCCTCGGGAGCCGGTCGCATTACAGTGGCGTACGTCCGGATGCAATCCTCTTGCTCATGACCAAAACGATGGCACTTGTCACAGCGAGGGACGCGACATTCTCGACGGATGTGGCCTGTTCTCTTACATCGAAGGCAGAGAGGCGCTCTTCCGGGGACAAGAACGAGAACGTTGCTGCCGAACAGACGCAGCTGGTGCGGGAGGTTTTCCTTGGTTACGCCTTCCTTTAGGTTCATTCTCACCAGCCTTGTCGTCGTCTGAACATTCTGGAAGCCTTCCGCCCTCCATGTGTCGCGGGATACTTCGTTGATTTTTCCATAAGGCTCCAGGGCCCTCCGCACTGTGTCGTCGCTTATGTGAATAGGTATCCAGTGCAGCCGTATTCGTACCTCGCACTCATCGGGATCGATGAGCAGGCACCTTTTTTCTTTCACCACAAGTTCCTTGGCTTCCAGAATTTTTCGCTTCGCTGTCAGGGAGTTGAAGGTGAAGAGCCAAACATGGTTCATCTGGTACGCGCCGGCTCCAATGAGGTCGTTTAGAACGCCGTGGCGTTCCATTTCTCCTCGAAAGTCGTCAATCTTGTACGGGCGTCCGGTGACGTCGCAATGAGCGAATACAGAGTTCAAAACTTCAGTACCTGTAGGCAGTGACGGCAGAACCACTCGGTAGGTATCCTGAGACATTTCAGCAGATGAACCACGGCCGGTGAAAGCCGTTGCAGACGCTCCACGGGAGCTCATTTTTTTGCGACCGTTTCGAACGGCGTCACGCGCTTCTCCTCGGCCACCGATCCCCCCTCCCAACCTTTGTGTTAAAATAAATTGAGTGGATGACACTGGTTGTCTAAATATAATCAATAAATCACTTAAATGACTGTCGAAATGGAAGCGAGCACGGTATACAATTGCTTAAACTTCATAAGTAAACCGACCAACCGAATATTCATGTCGCAAAAAAAGATTGAGAACCTCATCCACATGTAGGTGTGATATTATGAACAAACAATTCACCTGATGTTGACGTACCATTACCTCTAGCGTCAGATAAAATACAAGTTAAACATTCGTTGTCCATCTCTTCCGCGAGTTTCCTTACATAATCAAAAGCAACTGTTCACGATATATTATGAATACAAAGAACGATACTTTCAGGAAATAACGATAGTCTCCTTGCGCTGACTATTCTTGACGCCTTCCGATCCTAAATGCGCGATATAAATAAACGCGCTTCTTACTGGGAATGTTCGTTACTATTACTAAGCAAACCACAGTTAACATAAGAACCTTTGAATGCTCGTGATGCTTTAGTCGTCGAGTAGACATATCGGACTACAGTTTCCGAAGCAAGGCCAGAAAGCGCGGTGAAATGCAACGAAAAACACGGATACAACGCATCCGCCAAGGTTCGGAGGGGAGAGCGGAGGAGCAAGTTGAAGCAACCTAATGGCTGCCGCGTCACGTGATTCCAAGATGGCAGCGCCCATGTGGTGGAGGATGAAAAGGTCTATAAGGGTATAAGCATGAGCATGTTGTTCTAAACGGTACTTGCACTGCACGAGCGCGCGTGCTTATCAAGGACGCTGAAAGGCCGGCACTCGCTCTTGTAGCTTCTGCTCCACTCGAATTAAAACTGAAACAGATTTACTTATTCGAAGTAGAAAAATAAAAGAAAAGGACGAAGTTTGCGCATTGCGAGTACATCCTTTTGCGTAGTACGAGTACAGTGTTGCTCAAGGCTGTTCTCAAGGAAGGAGACTTCTACTAACGAGATTAAGCTGGCGAGACATCGAATCTATGATTCGTATCCCTCGTGCCATCAAGCGCCGAAGCTTCCTTTCCGAACGCGGTTTGCTGGATATTTCCAACGTAGAAAAGAAACCCTTTAGGAAGCTATCCTGCTTAAAGAAGGACCTGGCTGCTCTGCATGCGGGCCTCCAAATACCAGCACCCGACAGATCGGCGCAGGGTGTTGCCAATCTGGCGAGACGCTTTGCATGGTTCTTCCTCGACTGGCCTATCCCAACCGTCTGTTCGTACTTGGATGAGCGTTTGGACAGAACTTGTCGGTGTTCTTCAGTTCTGTGAACCTCATCGTGGGTCACATCAACGAGAGGTTCGGCCACCTGCTCGCTGACATGAACAAACATAGGTGGTTGACCCTGGCGAAACTAGAGCTGTGCTCACAGGTGAGACCCTGCATGATTTGTGTAAATTTCGCGTTTCCATTGTTTCTTTCACAGTTGCCCTGTCTGGTGAAAAGTTACTTTTTTCTATACGCCAAAGGTGTACATGGGCAGTGTCAGGACAAGCCACAACGAGCGCGTTCGTAATCTGTGAGTATTAGTAGGCCACTTTTATGAGCCCTCTTTGCTCTACTTTACGCTCTGCGAGAAGCATCGTCCCCACCGCGCATGCGTGGCCCGCTCCGAGTTGGAGCGTATAGTTAGCGGAGTGAGCGTGCGCTCCGCTTCACAAGTTGTAGAGCAGACTGCCCTCAGCGTCCTTAGCGTGATCGCTTAGATCTCAAGATGGCTGCACTTACTCAATACGCGTCGATGTTTTTGACCGTGACCTCAGCTTGAAAGAGGTCGAATCAAGAAGTAAAGCGTACGCCCCGCGCGTAAAAAGTAAACCATTCGATTTGAGTTCTATGTAACACAAAACGGCATAATCAAACGAAGTGAACGAGTATCACTTTGCAACCAGCACGGCGTCGGTAAAGTCGTCGCGTTTTGTGGACGTCCTATGGCTATGCAGTCAGATGTACGGGTGCGCGTGCTTGAACGCCGATTATATCGGTGCATGCGCCCTCCTGTCGAAAATGCCACTGAAAGCTGACCACGAGCATAGCGCTCGCAAGCTGCACAAAAGAAACCATTCCCCCCCTCTCAGCTTTATTTATTCACACTCGCTCGCAACTTTTGAATTGTTTAACTTTCCTCAAGAAATGTTCGCATTGGATTTCCTTGGTAGATTTAGAAAATAATAGAAACTTGAATGCAGCCTTTTTAAAATTGCAACCCATGGTGCCGCTAGTCTTCGAGGCCGCCTTATTTTGGCCAAGTGACTAGGGAGCAAGAGAGCTACGTCATTGTTTGTCGCGGACGCGAGTCTAAATGTATTAGACACGAATGCTGCGTCAATACTGAATATGAAATTGGTTCTAGTCACAAGTCTCGCACTAAAAGCGATGCCCAAAATATGGCGGCCGAATTTGTTACCCGGTGGTAACCACGACCGGTAAAGCCGGTCGTGGTGGTAACATGCAAAATTTAGCAAACACAACCCTGGACTTCTAAGCAGTAGTGGTAGATTAGAACAGTTTTCAGAAGTTTCGTTTTGAATTCCGGCGTAGCGGGCCTCGCATGCACAGTTTGACGGCCTCAAAGCTTAGCAGAATTAAAGAACAACTATATATATATATATATATATATATATTAATTTACGATACCCAATTTTTTACAACCCTACAATAGAAATACGCTTTATCTTAAAGAGTAACAAGTCCCATATCACATGTTTTGGTAGTGTTTAAATACTGCCATGTTGTAAGAGTGTTTTTCTTTGTCTTTTTTTTATTAGGCCTTCAAGGACAAGGGAACACCTCTAAACAACTGTTGGGGTTTTGTTGACCGCACAGCATGCCCATATGCCGTCCATCAAAAAATCAGAAGAAGACCACAAGACGGTGCTCGTCGTGAAGCACCAGGCAGTGATGTGCGCAGACGGCATAATTTGACGGCTGGACAAAACCTACAAAAACCATGGGCATTTTTTTGTTTGTTTAATATTAGAATGCATAAAATTATCACAGTAAATCATATTCAAGCTTTTCTACTGAGCGAAATACCTGTCCAACTGGGCTGAAAGGCATCTAGAAATATTTTAATAAAAAACGTTTACTAGCGACTCCCATTTTACTTCTCAGATGTGCGTGTGAATATTGCATCAAACCAAATTACAGTGTTACTGTTGAATTCAGCATTGTAAGAGTAGCCTATGTTGCGTGGCCTTCTATTGCAAGAAAAGACCGTAGCACAAGTGAGGCAGAAACTAGGCAGGAGCTTAAGCTGAAAAACGCACTTTCATAAACACACAAAAGAAATAAAAAAAAGTGTATAGTCAAGCAAAATGGTTTCATGTCACCCCCCAAGGCAGATACATACACTGCGCTCCACTGTTAATACGAACACGAAAAAAATCGCTTTTATTTGCAGTTTATTTCTTTGACAGCTATTGAAAAAGCTAAAAATTTGTCGCTCAGATTAGTGCCCCAAACGAGCGCTTTATTCCACACCAATAGGCAAATGTCAGCCCCTCGAATTTAAGGTGAAAAATGAAAACAGGATATTCAATGCTCCCGCTAACAGTGTCGCGCAGTGTACATAAACACCAAGGCACCATATCACAAACCGAAGCATACGAAGAAGAAAAGACTTATTTCATTGGGGGAAAAAAGTAGAGATATAAATGGAGTACTCGCTTTCGCTAATTTTCACTGTCTTGCTGCCTGAAGTAACCAAACAAAATATCTGTTCGTTTGCCGACTGCTTTAGTCTTTGGTCTTTAACCTTTAATTTTTGGCTCTGGAGAGCCGCGGCACCGCGGAAAGGAAGCAGCCCGTACCACCGAGGCCCGCGGTATGGTGCCTGGAACGCGTCTCCGACTGGTGTGTTTACCGGGTTCAAAAAAGTGGTCCCTCGATTTCCGCCTGATGACGTCATAGAAGTGTCATGCTGTCGCCTGTTGCGACCCTGGCGGCGCCCCAACAGTTGTGGTGTAAGTGGCAGACGCCTGTTCTGCTGCAGGTCGCTTTCCACTGTGACAGTTCACGGAAGCTACAGCAGCCGGAAGTTGGGACGCCTAAAGGGACGTCGTGACTAAAGCGACACTCGCGTTCGCTCGTGCTTTTCGCCAGCATTTCTACGGCCAACCGCCAGGATCGCGACAGGCAACAGCATGACACTCGCGTCATTTGTTGCCACATTGGGACCACTTTTGATGTATGGGCGGGATAGGACGCTAAACACACCAGTCGAAGACGCGATCCCGGCACCATACCCGCGGTGCCGCGTCTAGGGAACATGGTAATGTGATGAGTATATACGTGCAAGATGACGACGAGTCGACGACATGGGTTGTTGGTATTGGGGAGGGTGGCAGTCCGATTCGCAGAAGTCCAGACTTCGTGGAGGCGGGTTGGGCGGGTGAGCAGCGAGCTATGAGGATCTTGCACGCCGTTCGATCAGTGCATGAAGGAGCACCAGGAACATAATGGCGCTATTGCTCACTGGGGTCAACTGGGGTCAAAGAATCATGATCCAAGGAGGTAGTCCAGCCGAAGTAGAAGCTGCCGCCTCCCGGGAACCGAGGCCCAGGGCTCAGATTGAGACACCGCCGTCGCCCGGTGTGTCATCCTCTCAACGTCGTCGTCGTCATCTCGCAAAGAAAAATCGAGCCCGCTGGCTTAGACAAGGCAGCACCTCCGTGAAAGGATTGCGGCTAGCGATTTCTCGAAGCAGCCAGAGGTTCTTGACCACCGTGAAACGTTTTCTGGGGGACGCCTTTTCAAACAAAATCTGCGCAGCTTCTTAGTGCAGCGAGGTTCATAACGGTCAAGCGCGCTCCCAAGCATGATTTCAAATAGCGAGCACCCACCCACCCACCTTTCCAGAAAAGCACTATCTAGTGAACCTTTACTGAGAGTGGAACGTACTGACGCTACACTGGCTACACGCTCAAATCCCAGAGCGGGTCGCG